CTTTTTCTTATTTAGACCCTCCTGCCCCCCACCATGCTTAAAATTGTCTTAAGAGCTTATTTTCAAAGTTTTTCCTATCATAACACCTGTCTATATTTTAAGCATATTTCCATTTTTTAAATTCAAAATCATAATAATTATTTACACTTTTTCATATTTATAATTTCTGATTTGTGTATTGGACATTTTTATAATATTATGTTAATTTTTATTATTTCACAAAATTTGTGTATTGGACAGTTTTATAATATTATGTTAATTTTTATTATTTCACAAAATACTGTGTTATAGCTGTTATACCTGACAATAGGAATAATCAATTCATGAAGCATTAGGAACTATATTCACAACTTTTTTAATATAATGTAATAAAAAATAACTCCTACTTAAAGAGTAACTGATTGCCTCTACCTAAAAGGATAGCTATCACTTTGAATACGGATTGCATTATGTTAACAATAGAATGTGGTAAGAGGATCACTCAAAAATGTAATTACCCAATGACCAGATGTCTACTTCAGGACCATATGGTAGGCGAGAGATAACTTCAGGTGACATCCAATATGGTGTGCCAACTAAGGATTTTCGTTTTGGCAACTCCTGGGACACTTGTGCACAGAAACCAAAGTCCGACAGTTTCACCTGCAACGAACACATTCAACACATTTGCTAATCTCTCTTACATGAACAAACACACAATCTGGAGAATGGTTTTCATTGGACATATCAGCAGAAAAGTATCGTATCAAATAGAGAATGTCTTCTTAAGAAAATTTAATATTTATAACTTCATACATTTTTCAAACAGAACCTAATGACTTAATTTTATATTTTTCCCTGACACTTATTAACGAAAAGATAAGAATGAAGTTTGTTTCATTTTTTATGAAGATAATTATTTTTTCTAAAACATAATCCAAAGTATTTGAAATTTCACTTTGCATTAAAAGTTTTAACTAGAAGTCACATGCATGAAGAAAATTACAAAAATTCATAATACATCACTAACCCTGCCATCAGCTGCTAGGAGAATGGAGTCACTCTTGATGTCTCTGTGAATGACACCTTGGGAGTGTAAGTATGCGAGCGCTTTGAGACACTGCTTGCACACAGTTGCGATCTGCTCTTCATCCATGCGAGCATGTGTCACAATGTCAGTTAATGCTCCTCCTTCAAGGAATTCCATCACCACCCAGAGCTCATCTTGAACAAGGAAGCTGTCGTACATCTCCACAATGTTTGGATGGTGGTAATCTCTCATTATCACAACCTAGAAGAGCCAGTAGAGAAAGGATTGTATTGTACTCTCTCATTTTCACACAGAACTTTACTGTGCTCTGTTAAAAAAA